TTATCATAGAAAAGTTTCTATCAAATTTTCATAAAATTCTATACACTAAAGGTGTAACAAAATAATTTATTTAGGTTGTAGACCTAGGTATCCTAAAACTTTTTGATTATTTAAACCATTAAAAGGGTAGGGGTCCGTGCATCATCTGCCAAAAAGTTGTTGAAATTCACCGTTGCAATTTTTGTTTAGGGTATATGAATTTGATCATTTTTGGGGTACCCTTGCATATGGTCGAAAACCGGCTAGTAGACATATATTATTATGAGTTCTAAAATGAAGTCCTTATTTCGCTTTGTCAACAAAGTCGTGTTCTAATTACTAATTAGCACAAAATATGTTTGACACATGCCCACAAGCTTACTGTTTACATTCTCGTTATTATCATTTTTATCCTAATAAAATACACATATTCTATCTGCTTACATAAAATTGTATTATATATTGTTATTAAAACATTGTATTTTTACCCTGCTATTAGTTTTTAAACTTATTAAATATGGAAATGTAATGTATAGTACATACTTCACGGGGAGAAAACGGGAACAACCAAACATTCCTAAGGTATTTTCGTACGCGTCGACCTATATAAATACCAAATTTGTCCTATTAGAATCGAAATAATTCCTTCATGTCATGCTCTTTGCTCATTTAACATGGGTAAGCATTATATTTGACCATATTTTACACCTCGTAAACGTCCGGTGTAACGTATCGACAAATATAATGCCTACCCATGTTAAAATGAGAGTAGAGCATGACATGAAGGAACTGTTTCTTATTTTTTTGCACATGTTCTCAATAGGAATATCCATGACTGTAAAAATGCGTAGTTGAAACACATTTCAAAGTAAATCTGAAATGTAACGGTATCATTTATACCCTGAATGTAAATTAATGGTTGAAAACTGTTGAACAAGTGGAAAATCTGAAACTCTGAAATAACACATTCAATTTTTCAAACTTTGTCAGAACAAAAATTTGAAAATTGTTTGAAACTAAGGAATATAACTCCTTCATGCAAAGTTCCGATTCCTTGCTCGGTTTGGGCTATACTTTTGTCTTTTTTGGTTTTGTGAGCTCTTCAATTTGTGAATCAGTTTTCCTCGAGCATCACTAAAGAGACATTAATTGTCGAAATGCGCATCTGGCACAGTAAAATTGGTACCGTTTATGTTATAATAAATGTAGTAAAATAAATAAAATGTAGATTGTATGACAACGAAAATCATAAAGAAGATGTAAGGTTAAGATGAATCCAAAAGTAAATACAATTTTAAAAGAATATTATTGTTTAATTTCTGCAAAAAAATGCTCGAAAATCACAAATTTTTATGGAATTTAACCGTTTCAAATTGATAAAATCTTCATAACAATTGGGCCTACAAATACAAGAAACAAGAATATTGTTTGACAAAATAAACATTTTTACTCGATAAAAACTTCTACAGTCTTTCTTTGCATTATTTTTGTGTGCTTATGGGGAAATTGTATGGTCCTAGCCCTAATGATTATAGTCAAGTTTATATGGAAAATCATTTATATATATATTCAGTATGGCACGATTCCCCTTGGGACGAATTGATGTATCAACATTAAATTGTTACGTTTCTTTATTTCCCCAAGACTACAAAAGGCCCCTGTTAACGAGTTAGCAGACAAAGAATTCAATGTATTCATCAATAAATCGACTGTCTGTCACCATCAAAGTGCTATCTTTGTGCTAATGTAGGTTATCTGTTAGCATAAGCTATTACTAGGATGGTTGTTCAGATCATATTTTCTGGAATATTGCCGTTGATGTGTGATAACCAAAGACATACAGTTAAGTACAGCCTATCACTCAGCACTGAAACATTACTTCATTATTCAATGTTTTTTCCGGTTCAAGTTTTTATCTAAATGATGACAAAGGTCATTCTCAAAACATCACTCAGTCTCATTCTTATGAAGAAATGTAAACAAATGCCTATACTTGCTTACATCCACTTTATTCGAACTTTGGTGGATAGTTGTCTCGTTGGCAATCATACCACATCTCCTTATTTTTATAACATATAAAATGCTTGGTCACTGTTTCAATAATAGAACTGTTAAGTTAAGACGCACAAATAACTTTGTATACATTTTTAAGAGTTTTCTCCCATACCCCAGGTCTACCCCCTAAATGTGTAAGAAAAAACAATTCCAGTACTCGGTTGTCCCTCTCTGGGTTGAATTTACCCCTTGGTTAAATATAACCGAAGGTTAGTATTTTTACTGAGGGTAACGTAACCAAGTCGAAAATAAACTGACAATGACATGGCTAAAAAGAAAAAGACAAACAGACAAACAACAGTACACAAAACACAACATAGAAAACAAAGACTGAGCAACACGAACCCCACCAAAAACTAGGGGTGATCTCAGGTTCTCCGGAAGGGTGGCAGGGTAAGCAGATCCTGCTCCGAATGTGGCACCCGTCGTGTTGCTCATGCTAGTACAAACCCGGTAATAATAAAATTGAGAATGAAAATGGGGAATGTGTCAAAGAGACAACAACCCGACCAAAGAGCAGAAAACAGCCGAAGGCCACCAATGGGTCTTCAACACAGCGACAAAATCCCGCACTCGGAGGTGGGTTTCAGCTGGCCCCTAAACAAAAATGTGTACTTGTTCAATGAAAATGGACGTCACTCTAAACTCGAAAACATATAAACGAACTATAATTAAAAAAACATACAAGACTAACAAGGGCTAGAGGCTCCTGACTTGGGACAGGCGCAAATGCAAACCCGGTTATAAATAGGTATAAGAAGATGTGGTATATATATATATATATGAGGGCCAATGAGACAACTCTCCATCCAAGTCAAAATTTATAAAAGTAAACCATTATAGGTCAAAGTACGGTCTTCAACACGGAGCCTTGGCTATAAGTCTATTATGTCTAATAAGTTAAAATTTTAATCGAGGTCCTAAGCAATGTTAAATTGAATCATTTAACCTAGGATTTAACACAGGAAGAAATTTAACCACAGGATGAACAACAGACAATAACCTGGGGTTAAATTTTAATCAAGGGTTATGATATTTAACCCTTGGGTAAAATTCAACCAAGAGATGAACAACCGGGTCCAGACTGTATCTACTAGTTTGCTGAAAAACAATTAGCCCAGTTATCAGTTAAATTTTGAGAAGACGTTACTAAGTTGTAAAATTTGTGTCTGATCCATTTGCCATTTTGAACAATAAAATATGTTTAAACTTACCACAAAATACGTAAAAATAAAAAAAATAAAAAAATATATTTTAAAAAATTTGCTCTGGAAACTTAGTCTGTTGGTCTAAAAAATCATGTGTCCAAATTTCTTTAATGTTCTTAAAGGTTTGACAATGTTATTGATTTCTAAATTTGTTTTACATCAGACTGAATTTTAAAGTCTACACCGTCGACGACGTTCAGGCGTTTGCAACATAAATGTCAAAGGCTTGTCAAAAATGCATAAACATTTTCAAGAGTTGGCAATCCAGTCAAAAATACTATTATTAATATGACTGCTGATATATATCCAATTAACTTTCCGCCAATTCATCGGGTTTGATTTGAACGAGAAACTCATAGAGGCATGCATTGTTCGCAAAGCAAATAGACTCCTTGCAACCACAAGATAATTATACTTGCCGGTAAGTCTGAACTTGTCAAATCAATTCGAACTATCACACTATTCAACTGTCACGTATATATTGATCTGCAATATTATATTATGTGTCTCTTAATGTCTTGTAAACAAACGTACTAAAATTTATTTGTCAACCACAGCGCCCAGAATAAGAAAAATAATTCAACAAAATCAAAACTGTATAGTTTGGAATTATCATGAACAATTACACCGTCATATGCGTGTGTCAAATATACATATATCGAAATTTTCACTATGCAACATATAAAGGAGGATAGGAATGCCTTTTACCGTCAAGCGTCAAACGTCCTTTTTGCGCTACCGTTAGCGTCAAATGAGCCTAAATTTTCTATCGTCATTCGTCAAATTTAATTTTGTAGCTACCGTTAGTGTCAAATGGAGTAAAATATTTATCGTTAACATTATTTTAATAAATATTTTACCGTCATTAGTCAAGTGGGGTACCCCATTACTACCCTCATAAAGGCGAATTGAAGAGGTGGAATTAGATATAAACGTAAAGAACTGTCAGATTTGCTATAAAGGTTCCTTGAAATAACTTGTCTTTCTGTTACTAATATACTAAATAAAAGTTGACTTTCGATATCAGAAATATTACGACTTCGAAAATACATTTTTTTTCATTGAATGTATCAATAGATTAAAACGTCTGGTTTAGGAAACTGTACCCAATAATCTCAAGAAGGTAATTTCTGTAAGCCACAAAGTGATGAAAAAATAGGAATATGCCAATATAATGGTAATGCAATATCATTATGAATATCAATAGCTTAACTAGGTAAAGCATTACTATCTGTTCAACTTAGTTCAAAAACTAGGTTTTTGTAATTTTGAATGTCAAAACCTGAATTTCATTTCTGTAGAATTTACAATTAGTCTACCTACTCTATTGTTTTCATTTCTATATGCAACCATTCTTTTCATGCGACGCCACAATTGCTAACCATGCGTATATGTTTATTAAAAACACAGCGTGCGTTTATCGATAAGTATTCCTGTTTGTGTAAAAATATTATATGTTCAAAGTTTATTCTATAATGTACATGTTTTGTTTGTGATATGGTTAGCGGTTCCTTACATGTTGATTTATTTTGCAACCGACAGAAAAAAGCTCGTTATGGGATTATGATTTATAAGAAAAATCACAGACTTTAAGTTTGGACCTTGTGTCATATATATAAAAAAAAGTAAAATAACAAAAATATCAAAAAAACTCCAAGGAAAATTCAAATCGGAAAGTCCCTTATCAATAGGGTTAATACATCATATATCTTTTTTTTCTTCCAGGAACTGCTTAGAAAGTTAAACAAAAAAACTTACTTATTTCATTTGCGCTCCTCTCTATATTATCCAGTTTCTTCGAATGCTGTTCTATTACGACTTGCATATCAACGATTGTCTGCAAAGTCAAAAATATAGTTATCATTTCTTTTGCTCAAATGCACTTCACTTCCACAATTTCAACTTGCAGTCATCACTTTCAGTAAAGATACATTTAAACACAATGAATGTCTTTTAAGTCAAGTACATACTAAGGGTCAGGTGAGAAAAGGGAATATGTAAAATGAACGCGTTGCTTATTAATATAATTAATATAATATCGTAACACTAACCTCAATATCCTCTTTAACACATAGTTTTCCACTTTATTTTACTTCTTGTTTTTATTTACAAGTCAGGATTCACGACATTTCACCTACCATACATTTCAATATTAAAGTGTCTTTAAATCGTTAATCATTATATTCTAATGAGATATATAATTACCTCGTTTTTATCCATTTCCCTACGAATTTCATCTAACAGTATATTTTGAAATTGGGTGCAAATAGTATCATCAATCGGTCTGATCGCTGCATCTTCCAGCTTTTGTCTTATTATCTTTTCTTTGTTGCATTGTTTTGCAATTGAAAGTATTACACGTTCTATCTGTATTTTGTACACAGAATAATCTGCAGACGACATTTTTCCATCCTCTGAATGACCATGTAGATTATTCCTGTACTTAATTAAGTCTTCGACGTCTTGTCTAACAGCACCGATGCAAGAAGGAGCAAATTTAACCAACAGACACCTCAAGAGTGTAAGATCCAAATAAGCACAGGATAAGGATCGTTTAGCCGAACAACAACAGAATGGTCTGACATTCAAATTATGACCTGCCATTTTTGGTCCTGTTTTATCAAACAAAATATCTAGTTGGGATGGATACAGTACTCTTTGTGGAGGTGATTTCCATAGTAGTTTTCCTCCTGTACATTGACAACACGGATTTTTGTTATAACAAAGATGATATATTCCATGCTTGTTTAGATTGATAAAATCTATTAAAGTCAGGTTTCGTTTTAATAAATCATCTTCCAGCAATAATACGAGTACTTCTTTCCCGTGTTCAACGATGACCGTTGAGGTTCTATAAAAGTTTTCTCGTTGTTTTTGTGTCATAATTTAAAAATAAACGAAAAGTAAGTTAGAGTACAACTTGAATAAAATTTTTGAGTAACCAAGACTTCCAGTTCTACTGTAGTCTATCTTAGTACTACTTACAACTAGCTAAATACTGCATAAGTATTTTCTACTTTCGTTTTCTCGAGATTATTTACATAGTTACCATGGTATTGAGCTAACAAGACTCCATATCAATGCTGGATACGGATATGATATACAGGCACGGAAATTTGTAAGCGTTAGTAAAGTTATATATATATATAGGTATATTGAATTAATGAATATTAAAATTTTGCAACTATTTTATGTAATTTTTGTTATCATTAGCAATTTTATGTAATACATGTGATACTATATTTTTTTGAATTGTTTCATAGTTCTGTATTTTTATTTTTTTATCCTAAAGATGTACTGGGTATTGTAATTTTTTTTTTTTGCCGGGTGGGGAGAGGGTACTTAATGTTGTTGTTTGAGAAGATATATTTTTGGTATACCATCGTAGCTTGTCAAAAATCTTAAATGATTTAATGCACTTACTAATATATCTATTTAAATGAAAGCAAATATTTGAACATGTGGAAGTTATGTCAATGTGAATATCAATGCAACGCAACGTACATTTTCGAAATAATTTTTAGCGGATAACTTCAATTCAGAATAAGAAGTCCTAAAAGTATTTACACTTGGTTGTTTTACACATTTAGTTTTGGTCATTATAGAAAAAAAGAGAACCAATGTTCCCAAATTCACCGTACACATTTTTTTACCTATCCTAAATATGTTCATTTTGAAATGATTCACATTTATTACGCCGTGGACTTATATAGTTCGATTTGTGTTTATTCATCGTTGAAGGCCGTACAGTCCACCATAGTTTTTTTAATTCTCGTCATTTAGTCTCCGGGTGATCGTTGATTCATTTGAGATTATACTGCATCTACTTATCTTCATATAAATGATGGAGTTGCACATGAAATGTAAAAAAAATATAATGTGTAGCTTTTAAAAAGCTGTTATTGATAATTCTATCAAGTACACTCATCATTTAAAGTATTGAAAGATAATGAAATGTCAAATATATTTCGAACAAATCATCCAAGGTGGATTATCAAAAATCATTCCGGATTTAATACCAGTTATATCCACATCATTAGACTGTGATGGATAGTTGTCTCATTGGCAATCATACCCAATCTCCTTATTCATATATATTACTTAATGATATTCTTGGACACCAATTAGACAGAATGATAAGGAGTAAATGAATCTAATAATATTTGGAAGTGGAAGCTTGAATGTTCGGTATTTTTCGTATCATGTTTCTCTTACACTGCCAATTTAATTTTTGAATTTCTTTTTTTCATTTGTCGTTTCCTATAAAGCTTTCCATTTTTACCCAAAAAAGAAAGATAGATGTTGTCAATATAATGGAGTTATATGCGACTGTCATAAAAGTGAGAGGTTTAGCTAGCTATAAAACCAGGTTTAATCCACCATTATCTACATAAAGAAATGCCTGTATCAAGTCAGGAATATGACAGTTGTTTTCCATTCGTTTGCTGTGTTTGAGCTTTTAATTTTGCCATTTGATAAGGGACTTTTTATACGACCGCAAAAAAATTTTGCGATCGTATATTGGTATGACGTTGGCGTTGTCGTCGTCGTCGTCGTCGTCGTTGTCGTCGTCTTCGTCGTCCGAAGACACATTGGTTTTCGCACTCTAACTTTAGTTTAAGTGAATGGATCTCTATAAAATTTTACCATAAGGTTAAATACCACAAAAGGAAGGTTGGGATTGATTTTGGGGGTTATGGTACTAACAGTTAAGGAATAAGGGGCCAAAAAGGGGCCAAAAATAAGCATTTTTGTAACTTCCAGACATAACTTGTGTGTTAGTGTATGGATCACTCTGACATTGTACCACAAGGTTCCATATCACAAAGGGTATGCTGGGATTGATTTTGGGGGTAATTGCCTCAAAATTTTAGGAATTAGGGGCCAAAAAACAAGCATTTTTATATGGACAAATACTTTAGTACAAAATAAAATTTAAAGCAGTGTAAGGGAGATAAATCAAATACAACATTTGAATTAATTACCTCCCTTTCACTGCCTTTAAATTATATATAAAGTAATGGTTAATGAACAATTAAGACAATTTAAAACAGTATAAGGGAGGTAATCCACATACAACGTTTTGATTACTTCCCTTACACTGCTTTTAAATTATGTTTAAAGAAATGCATATTTATAAAGGAAGACCAGTAAAAATATCTGCAAATGTTGCATCTTTTTTTTTTACAAAAAAATCCATATGAAAGATTTGACACCATATTTCAAATTCTATTATAAAATAGATTAAGTTAGCACTATGGTAAATTTAAATGGGTAATTATGGTTGCAAATTCATTGGAAATTTGAATTGAGATTATGACCATATCTTGAGGTCAAGAATTTTTTTGGGGAAAAAGGGGGGGGGGGCAGAAATTGTGGGGGGTCAATTTTTTCTCATTTCAGATTTCAGAAATTAAAAAGAATTATTCTTCAAATATTATTTTTATTTCAAATTTCAAATATTGAAAAATGTCAAGAAGTAATCTTTAATTGCACAGTATGGCGCATTAGATTTATAAAATCTTTGACCACATTTATTTATTTGTTATGCCAAATCTGACCGTGTATTTAGATTTTTAATTTTGGGTCCAGTTTTGAAATTGGTCTACATTAAGGTCCAAAGGGTCCAAAATTAAACTTTGTTTGATTTTAACAGAAATTGAATATATGGGGTTCTTTGATATGCTGAATCTTAACATGTATTTAGATTTTTGATTTCGGGCCCAGTTTTCAAGTTGGTCCAAATTGGGGTCCAAAATTAAACTTTGTTTGATTTCAACAAAAATTGAATATATGGGGTTCTTTGATATGCTGAATCTAATCATGTATTTAGATTTTTTATTTGTGGCCCCGCTATCAAATTGGTTCATATTGAGGTCAAAAGGGTCCAAAATAAACTTTGTTTTATTTCATCAAAAATTGAATTATTGGGGTTCTTTGATATGCCAAATCTGACCGTGTATTTAGATTTTTAATTTTGGGTCCAGTTTTCAAATTGGTCTACATTAAGGTCCAAAGGGTCCAAAATTAAACTTAGTTTGATTTTAACAAAAATTGAATATATGGGGTTCTTTGATATGCTTAATCTAAATATGTATTTCGATTTTTGATTTTGGGCCCAGTTTTCAAGTTGGGCCAAATTGGGGTCCAAAATTAAACTTTGTTTGATTTCAGCAAAAATTGAATATATGAGGTTCTTTGATAAGCTGAATCTAAACATGTATTTAGATTTTTGATTTCGTTCCCAGTTTTAAAGTTGGTACAAATTGGGGTCCAAAATTAAACTTTGTTTGATTTCAACAAAAATTGAATATATGGGGTTCTTTGATATGCTGAATCTAACCATGTATTTAGATTTTTTATTTGTGGGCCCCGCTATCAAATTGGTTCATATTGAGGTCAAAAGGGTCCAAAATTAAACTTTGTTTGATTTCATCAAAAATTGAATTATTGGGGTTCTTTGATATGCCAAATCTAACTGTGTATTTAGATTTTTAATTTTGGGTCCAGTTTTCAAATTGGTCTACATTAAGGTCCAAAGGGTCCAAAATTAAACTTAGTTTGATTTTAACAAAAATTGAATATATGGGGTTCTTTGATAGGCTTAATCTAAACATGTATTTCGATTTTTCGATTTTGGGCCCAGTTTTCAAGTTGGTCCAAATTGGGGTCCAAAATTAAACTTTGTTTGATTTCAGCAAAAATTGAATATATGAGGTTCTTTGATAGGCTTAATCTAAACATGTATTTCGATTTTTCGATTTTGGGCCCAGTTTTCAAGTTGGTCCAAATTGGGGTCCAAAATTAAACTTTGTTTGATTTCAGCAAAAATTGAATATATGAGGTTCTTTGATAAGCTGAATCTAAACATGTATTTAGATTTTTGATTTCGTTCCCAGTTTTAAAGTTGGTACAAATTGGGGTCCAAAATTAAACTTTGTTTGATTTCAACAAAAATTGAATATATGGGGTTCTTTGATATGCTGAATCTAACCATGTATTTAGATTTTTTATTTGTGGGCCCCGCTATCAAATTGGTTCATATTGAGGTCAAAAGGGTCCAAAATTAAACTTTGTTTGATTTCATCAAAAATTGAATTATTGGGGTTCTTTGATATGCCAAATCTAACTGTGTATTTAGATTTTTAATTTTGGGTCCAGTTTTCAAATTGGTCTACATTAAGGTCCAAAGGGTCCAAAATTAAACTTAGTTTGATTTTAACAAAAATTGAATATATGGGGTTCTTTGATAGGCTTAATCTAAACATGTATTTCGATTTTTCGATTTTGGGCCCAGTTTTCAAGTTGGTCCAAATTGGGGTCCAAAATTAAACTTTGTTTGATTTCAGCAAAAATTGAATATATGAGGTTCTTTGATAAGCTGAATCTAACCATGTATTTAGATTGTTTATTTGTGGGCCCCGCTATCAAATTGGTTCATATTGAGGTCAAAAGGGTCCAAATATAAACTTTGTTTTATTTCATCAAAAGTTGAATTATTGGGGTTCTTTGATATGCCAAATCTAACTGTGTATTTAGATTTTTAATTTTGGGTCCTGTTTTTTAAATTGGTCTACATTGAGGTCCAACATTAAACTTAGTTTGATTTTAACAAAAATTTAATTCTTTGGGTTCTTTGATATGCTGAATCTAAACATGTGTTTAGATTTTTGATTATGGGCCCAGTTTTCAAGTTGGTCCAAGTTGGGGTCCAAAATTAAACTTTGTTTGATTTCAACAAAAATTGAATATATGGGGTTCTTTGATATGCTGAATCTAACCATGTATTTTGATTTTTGGGCCCCGTTATCAAATTGGTCCACTTTGAGGTCAAAAGGGCCCAAAATTAAACTTTGTTTGATTTCATCAAAAATTGAATTCTTTGGATTCTTTGATATGCTGAATCTAACCATGTATTTAGATTTTGGATATTGGACCATAATAGGTAAATTAAAAAAAATTAAGTTCTTAGACCACATTCATTCTGTGTCAAAAACCTATGCTGTGTCAAATATTTAATCATAAT